GATGTGGCCATCCCCACCGGGGGGATTTCTCACTTTTTGTCTTTCTGTACCTTTCTGTCTTTCTGGTGAGTGCAAGTGCCCTACAGCAAAAACCTCTCCAAAAAAAAAAAAAAGAAGAACATGAACATAGACTTCCTGCTAAATTTACTGCAGGAATATATAGATTATAATATGCTTCCTTCTGATGTATTGTTAACTGAATATCATTTTAGTGACATTACATAACTCATTTTGCTACATACATATTTGGTAAGATACCAACATCTAACAAGGCAGATCCTCTAGCCCAGAATACTGTGATTATGAAAGTATATCAACTGAGAGTTTATCTTAAAATGTTTAAATTGAAAATATTCATTTTTTAAAATAAAAAGAGAGACATAACATTTGAGACAAGATTTAAAATGGCCAGTATTTAGACTAGAAAAGAGAGCCTTTGTCCAATGGCACAAACACAGAAGATTGATTACAGATATATTACTGATTCAGTGATTGATAAAACATTCCAGACAGAAATTCAATGATATTGTTAGGATTTAGGAATGGGAACTGTTTACAATTATGAATAATAATAATGATTCCAACTACTTCTTTCAAGAGAGTATACAAAATATTTTTGCATGTCACGGTTCTTTTTTTTTTTTTTTGAGAGGTTTTTGCTATAGGGCGTGTGCACTCACCAGACAGACAGAGACAGACATAGAGACAGAAAGCGAGAAATCACCCCCCAGGGGGGATGGCCACACCGCAATCCCTTCTCCTCCATTCTCCTCTCGGGATCTTGGGCACGCACGCACACGCGCCCGGCGTGAGTTTTAAGCAACTGGGTCCAGGACGTGAACCGCGGTCGATTACGTGGGAGTCCAGTGACATAGCCATTATGCTAACTGCTGGTTCCCCATGTCACGGTTCTTGATAACAGTCTGCATTGGAGAAAGTAATAAAGTGAGTGCCAATACTAAATAAAAACTCATATGTGACTAATGAGGCTTCTAAATGGGTTATTATTTTTCATGGATGTTGAAAGCCACAAATATAGGAAACATTTTAATTTGATTGGTAGACAACTAATGAATTTCAGCCACTTGTTTTTAAAACTACGTAAAAATTAAACTTCAGCCATTATATCTTGAATGTATAAGTTGATGACTTATACCTGAGGAAAATATTCACACAATTTTCTTTATCAGGAGAAATGGCTAATATGATAGAATATGATGAAAACTTTTAGGACTGGTAATACCCTGTGTTGATAAATTACGGCCAAACTCTGGGAAAAACTACCTAACGTAATTCTTTGCTCTAATATCATTCTTTTCTATGTTTTGAAGGATGTGGGAATTCTGCCATGAGCTTTGGTGGAGCTAGAAGGATCACTTAGTAAATGATAGACTATATGAGAAAATCAAGCGCTAACACATTTAACTCGCTTTTTAAAGAAATAAGATGGGGGAGTAATGTTTGTTGTTCATTTAACAGATGCCAAGCGAATGGTAAAATCTGTCATCCTTCTGCCTTATTTTTTCTGGGTAGTTTAATAATCTTGATATTGACTGAACAAAAATACCTGCCTGCTATTTTTGAAAAAAATATGCAAAAGATGAGAAAATAAACGATCTAGTCAACTTATCCCGTATCTCAGGGCTTTTAACATTCTTGTTCTGTAAAGAAGATATTCAAATTTGAATCCAGTCAGCACCATGCTGTCTCCTCACAGCTTCCATTATTGATAAAACAAATGGTTTAACACTTCAAATCTACACAGAGCTTGACAGAAATGTAAAGGTTCCTTTTGGCCTTAGTGGATAAAGTATGGGCTCTTCGTTACAGAAAAATGTTGTAGTTTGACCATTTTAATTACCAGTGGCTCTAAGTTCTTTTTTCAGACAAGCTGATTCATTTCTTAGGTACTTTGCAGGGCAATTCAATAAAAACTATAGTAAGTGCTTAAGAGTGAAATCATAATATACAGAAAAAACTAGCTGTGAAGTGTTGAGCAGTTTTGAAATGTCATTTAAAAAAAATTTAAATCAACATGTTCTAAAAACAGTGGCATGTGTCCAATAGGCTCAGATTTGTGCTACAGTAAATCTCCACCAATGCTAATAGTGTATAATAGGTTATATGTGAGAATAAATATGGCTGTAAACACAGATCACATTTAGTTAGGATAATGAGTTGAGTAAGCCCACTGATTTATGAAAGTGATAATATTTTAATTTTTTTTGCTATCAATAAAATATTAATATTCTAGCCTTAACCACAGGGTGAGCCTCTTTTAAATAAAGGCTAGCCTTTCTAGTCTCCAAGGAATGCTGGGAAACTAGAGGTGGGGCAACAGCTGAGGCCTGCCTGGTCCTGGAGTGTGCAACTCAGTAATACATGAAAACATCCTCCCAATTACGCTGGACCCCTGCCCCGCACTCTGCACCCCTTGATGAATTACTGAAAACGTAAAAGTCAAATGTATGCACATCTCCTCAAGAGTCATTTCTTTTAAGCAGGATGGACATAATGTTACAAAGAGCTCTTTACTCATGAGGCCTGTTTTCTTGTGAGTGTGTATGTGTGTGTTGGGGGTGGGGGTGGAAGGGATGAGCAGTAGGTAAATACAAAAATGAAATGAGAAAAATTAAGAAGAGGGGGTTTCTGAGGTCAGTGCAACAACTGCAGTGAGGAAGGGCTCAGTGAAAAGGTGACGTCTGAGCACAGATCTGATGGAGGCAGGGGCGGGGCTAGGGTACGGGGAAGAGAGACCCGGGCTGAGATACACAGATGCAAAGGCCCTGGAGTGGGAAGGTGCCTGGTGTTGGTTGAGGAACACCAAGAGGTGCAGTGTGGCTGGAGCAGAGGGAGTAATGAGAGGCAATGAGGTCGATGAGGTCATGGAGAACAGGTCG